ATCGGTTTGCTTGTTTTGGTGGCCAGGCTCGTGGGCGCAGATTCTTCTCAGGATGCCACAGGAGGCTCCAACAGGCTCCAGGAGGCCCCAGGAGACCACATGAGGTCCCAGGAGGCATCAGGAGGCCACAGAAAGACTCAAGAGGCCACAGGATGTCCCAAGAGGCTCCAGGAGGCCCCAGGAAGCTCCAGAAGGCCTCAGGAAACCACAGGAGGCCCCAGGAGGCAACAGGAAGCGCCAGGAGGCCTCGGAAGGCAACAGGAGGCCCCGAGAGGCCCCAGGAGCAGGAGGCCTCAGAAGGCAACAGGAGTGGCTCCAATCCCATGTGTTTTACGTATGCTCCTATCGATTGGGCCTCACCTGGAGCACGATTCTTTGATGTTCTACGTATGTTTCTATAGATGGTCCTTCTCCTGTGTACACAATCCTAAATGTTTTACTCATGTTCCTATGTATTGGGCCTCTCCTGGGGCACGAGTCCTTGGTGTTTTACGCGTGTTCCTATAGATTGCCCTTCTCCTGTGGCTCTAATCCGCAATGTTTTATGTACGTCTGTTGCTATAGATTGCGCCTCTCCTGGGGCACGAAACCTTCCAAGGAGGTCCCAGGAGGTCCCAAGAGGCTCCTGGAGAACCCAGGAAGCCCCAGTAGGTTTCAGGAGGCCCCAGGAGGCCCCAGGCTCATGCACAGAGACGCGCTCGTACTACTGAGGCTCATTCACACTCCAATTCATTCGCAATTAGATTGATGTCCAGACCGTCACAACTGAAGCCCGTTAATATTCGAAAGCTCTTGCGCCTAGACATTCACGGCGGACAGGTCCATGCGAGTAGATGCACATATGGGGAGCTCCACGCAGTGAATAATTATTACTTGGACGCCTCCTACTCCTCCTCCTTCCTCCTCCTCTTTTCTCCTCCCCTCCTGTCGGGCTTACTCATACTCAGACTTGCTCATACACAGACTTACTCATACTCAGACTTACTCATACTCAGACCTACTCATACTCAGACTTACTCACACTCAGACATACTCATACACAGACTTACTCATACACAGACTTACTCACACCCAGTCGTACTCATACACAGACTCACTCATACCCAGACTTACTCATACACAGTATTAGTTATACTCAGACTTACTCATACCCAGACGTACACATACACAGACTTTCTCATACACAGACCTACTCATACCCAGACTTACTCATACACAGACTTACTCATACACAGACTTACTCATACTCAGCACCCCTAAGGGGAGCCGCCAGGGGTGGTTGCACGGGCTCGTTCGCGGCCATTTTGTGGGGATGTCTCAGGCGGTTTGCCTGTTTCTGTGCCCAACATCCTTCGCTTTCGGAGCAGATTTGAGGATGTCTCGAGCGAGGCGCTCATTTCAGCACCCCTAAGGGGAGCCGCCAGGGGTGGTTGCACGGGCTCGTTCGCGGCCATTTTGTGGGGATGTCTCAGGCGGTTTGCCTGTTTCTGTGCCCAACATCCTTCGCTTTCGGAGCAGATTTGGAGGATGTCTCGAGCGAGGCGCTCATTTCAGCACCCCTAAGGGGAGCCGCCAGGGGTGGTTGCACGGGCTCGTTCGCGGCCATTTTGTGGGGATGTCTCAGGCGGTTTGCCTGTTTCTGTGCCCAACATCCTTCGCTTTCGGAGCAGATTTGGAGGATGTCTCGAGCGAGGCGCTCATTTCAGCACCCCTAAGGGGAGCCGCCAGGGGTGGTTGCACGGGCTCGTTCGCGGCCATTTTGTGGGGATGTCTCAGGCGGTTTGCGTGTTTCTGTGCCCAACATCCTTCGCTATCGGAGCAGATTTGGAGGATGTCTCGAGCGAGGCGCTCATTTCAGCACCCCTAAGGGGAGCCGCCAGGGGTGGTTGCACGGGCTCGTTCGCGGCCATTTTGTGGGGATGTCTCAGGCGGTTTGCCTGTTTCTGTGCCCAACATCCTTCGCTTTCGGAGCAGATTTGGAGGATGTCTCGAGCGAGGCGCTCATTTCAGCACCCCTAAGGGGAGCCGCCAGGGGTGGTTGCACGGGCTCGTTCGCGGCCATTTTGTGGGGATGTCTCAGGCGGTTTGCCTGTTTCTGGGCCCAACATCCTTCGCTTTCGGAGCAGATTTGGAGGATGTCTCGAGCGAGGCGCTCATTTTCACCCCCCAGGTGGGCCAGATTTTGAGGATGTCTCGATCGGTTTGCTAGTTTTGGTGGCCAGGCTCGTGGGCGCAGATTCTTCTCAGGATGCCACAGGAGGCTCCAACAGGCTCCAGGAGGCTCCAGGAGACCACATGAGGTCCCAGGAGGCATCAGGAGGCCACAGAAAGACTCAAGAGGCTACAGGATGTCCCAAGAGGCTCCAGGAGGCCCCAGGAAGCTCCAGAAGGCCTCAGGAAACCACAGGAGGCCCCAGGAGGCAACAGGAAGCGCCAGGAGGCCTCGGAAGGCAACAGGAGGCCCCGAGAGGCCCCAGGAGCAGGAGGCCTCAGAAGGCAA